TTAGGAAACAAAACTTCAAGACCACGGCCACACAGCCCGGAAGACCCACACCAGCCATTGTATGCCGGCCGTGAAAGCCTTCGACAATACTTTGTGTAGTGTATTGGGGGAGCAGAATGGCAGTTAGTATCATTTCAAAGGTACTGTACCTGGATTTTGGCAGACTTTTTAACTGAATGCCTGACGGGTCATATAAGTTAATACTTTTCTCTTTTTTTAGCAGACAGTCCCCTCCCCCCCCAAGGCATTTGAAGTGAGAGCATCTGAATTTGTTCTCTCATATTGCTATCACATACGTACATCATTAATACTGAGGCTCTGAGGTATTATTTTATTCCAATTAGTCTAAGAATAGATTGTCAGAAATATTTGGAGAATTTTATTTATCATGCAGTTAAGAATGCACTGTGCTCTAAGAATAGATTGTCAGAAATATTTGGAGAATTTTATTTATCATGCAGTTAAGAATGCACTGTGCTCTAAGAATAGATTGTCAGAAATATTTGGAGAATTTTATTTATCATGCAGTTAAGAATGCACTGTGCTCAGGGTAAAGAAACAGAGGGGTCACTTGTTTTGAATAGTAAATGTATGTTTAAAGGGGGTGGAGTAGTGTGGACAGGAAATTAATTCCTCATAGGGAATGAATCATTTGCATTCTTGGCAGTCAAGTTCAGATTTACAAGAATGTTCGGCTTGATAAACTTCCTTCCAAATGTTTTAACTCAGAGTGCAACGATGGCAGGAAGGATACACACAAAAAAGATACATGGACAGACCCTTCCGAACAGGACAAACTGAGAAGGAGGTAATTCATATATAATGTATACATTGTCTTGCCCCAAACAGGTCACACATTCATCTGTAGTCAGATAATATGAACTTGGGTCCTGCTAGGGCTGGTTTTGCACAGCAGAAGTTGTGCAAGGGTAAAAATTAAGTTACATTTTGCTCCTGACTGTATCGGCCACCAAGTAAGGTTTGTAATATGGGAAGAGCAGCTCATTGCCAGTGAGCGATCAGTACAACACATACTTGTGCAAATGTGTTTTTTGCATTTGTACTACAAGTTCAATGTAGTCAGCCCAGACTGTAAACATAGCTAGAGATTTTTCCTTTCAAGTTCCCACCCATCTAATATCCACGTGGAAGTGAGTCTTTTTGATTGCTGCCACATTTTGTGGAAGTGCTTAGTGCAGTGATGGCGAACCTATGACACACGTGTCAAAGGTGACACATTTTGGGTGACACGCCAGCGTTCACCAACACCCAACAACTATTCCCCCTGTTTGAGTCACCAAAAAAACTGAGTTTGTTTTACTCATATTTCATTTTTGTAATTATGTGACATTTCTTTACATAATACATAGTGCCGCACATGATTGGACTGTATTCTTTAAAAAATAAATGAATATGTAAAGGATTGTTTCTCTTTTGTTTGGCGGGTTGGGGGGAGGTGACATGCCAGCAGAGTCAAGTTAGGCATTTTCCGAATTTTTGACACATTCTGAATTTTTGAAAGGTTCGCCATCACTGGCTTAGTGTATGATGCTAATCTAATGCCTGTTTTTTAGGTATGGCGAACCCTTGACTTTTCTCTGCTTTTTGTTGGCTTTATTCACTCGCTCACCTAACTCGTTCTCATTCTTCTGATTGATTGGTGTTTTAAATATATTTTATTTATGTTTTGTGTGGTTTTACAGGGGGTTAGAGGTGGTTATACATTTCATTCTGTTTTTAATTTTCGTGAGCCCTTTTTAAGTAGAAAAGCTCTGTAGCAGTGTTAAAATATTTTATAATAATAAAAATACCAAGGTCTACACTTAACAAAGTTAATACGTTTCCTTCAGATGTAATGCATAAAATTGGCTTCATAATTTATCACTAGGTAATACAATTAATGATAAAATTATAGTTATAAATTATAAATAATTGGAAACATATGCACCCTAGAGCAAAAAGAAAAAAATTCAGTTTCACATAAACGCTGATAAAACTGGGCATAGCAGTCCAGGAAATAAAATTTTGAGTCATAGTTCAGTGAAAATACCAAATCATATGATGGCAATTATAAAAGATGACAAACTGCATGTTAGATATGATAATGAAAGGGATCAGATATTAAACTGTTAGTTCTTAGTACTTTTATATAAAAACATACTGTGGCTGCATTTTAAACATAATGTGCAGTTCTGGTGATACCATCTTATGAAGCCTGGGAAGATGCAAAAAGAACTAGCCAAAATAATCAAGGAGTTGCCACATCTCCTCTCTGAGAAAAGACATTCGGTTTAAAAAATAAAATACTAATAAGAGAATGTATGATAGAGACTTATAAATTCAGGTAGTATCGAGAAGGTGGAGGAAGACCTCTTTCTCATTATACCAGAATCATTTTTGCATGGCTCTTATTTGGGGAATGCATCTTGTCAACCATTAATTCATATACACTGACATGCTGGCTAGGAGCTATGGAAATTCAGGTCCAGAACGTTTGGAGGGGGTTAGGCTGGAGAAAGTTACTAAGACATATGGGCTTTTGCAACTGAATGTACTTCTGGCTTCTGCACCATTATTTGAAAATAAGAGTAGAGATCTGGAATTTTAAAAGATTAGCTATGCCTTACCATAGAACAGGGATA